TGAAGTCGCATTTATTCATTACACATTGCATAATAATTATCAAATAACCAGAATGCTATTTATTCAGTCCTACGTTTTGGACTGGAACAACAGTGAAAATCTACGACTATCAGGGTAAAACACACTAAGTAAATTTCAAAACATCTAGATTTTCTCAACAGCTTCCTAATATCATTCATCTACGCTGAATTGAAATTCATTTGATCTAAATGTTTAGAATTTTAATTGATCACGAATATGACTTGACTGTTAGTCGAAATATTCTCTGTGTGGTATAGATGTCCTGATTCTGGTTCACTTGATTCCACACTCGTCATAATCTTCTGTCTTTATTCGCTATAAGATTAATTTGGAAAATCCATCCTTAAATATATTAACCTGGATCATAAGTTTTTGTTATAAAATAATAATTCGTCGCAACTTTAATAATGTAGCAACTCGATGTAGTAAATATTATTTCTCATTCAGATAACTATTCCAACTAGAGGTAACAAACAAAATAGGATTCTGACCTATTTTGCTCCTAAATCTATTTGTTTCTTTTTCTCCAGACAAAAAAATTATACATGAACGAAGTATCTAATACTTTTTTTAAAAGAAAAACAATTGGGTCGTAGTAACAATTTATACTAAATTTCATTTTTTTATGGTGGTACTTCTTATAAACTACTCAAACAATATTAAAAAGTTATGAATGATATTCACAATCTATTCTGAGTAACTTCATTAGTTACATCCATACTAATACAATCGGTTTTTATCTTAGTAACATGAAGATAATATTTGTAATAAGTTTAATTAATTGTCATTACAAGTTTATTGTAATATATAATTTTCTTGAAAAATGTATTATAATACACATTTGTTATTGTGCTTAGTATAGATTTTATAACAAGAAATTTTTAATTGACATGCCAAATTACAAATTTATTGAAAACACTATCAGTTAATACCAATAGAAAGTGATCAATATAGTTCGAACTATAGAGAAAGAAAAAAGAGAATCTTGAAGTATTACAGGAAAAATATTATCTTGTGCTAACAGAACAAGTAGTTACTTCTGGAAAATTGATAGTATGATCAATAACAATGTGGATATTTGAATTGATCAATGCTAGACTAGAGTCTCAGGGAGAATATAATCATTAACAATAGAATGTATTCAATGTATAAATTTCAAACAAACATAAAGGCGCTATAGATAGCAATTGGTTGCTATCAATTAAATCTATATGCAATATATATAATATAGAGCCAAATTTATTTGTGTGACAGAATATAGATTTCAAATAATAAGATATTATGTGAATATAAAGTTTATTTATTTTACAAGGTATAATTATAACAAAGAATAAAGGCTATGGATATGCACAGATAGACAGGAAAAGGTACTTTGATCCTGAAATAATTTCGTTTAACACAATGTTATTAACAATTTGAATATATATATATATATATATATATATATATATATATATATATATATATATATATATATATATATATATATATATATAGTATCGTAAATTCAGACACTTTACTTACGTCATTATTTATATATATATATATATATATATATATATACAAACATATAATTTATCACGCTCTGAAAATTTTACTCTGCACTTCACACATGTAATTCAACACTAATCTTAAATTTAGGCACGTTTGAACTAGTTTAAGACAAAATTGTAGTTCAGCCAGTATACAAAAATCAAATAAACCAAACATGCAGTTTATCACCTTGTTAAATGTGAAATTTGACATATGTATCTATGATAGAATCATAAAGATGGATACAGAAAGAAACATCAGGCAAGTACATGATATTACTGACCGTTGAAACTTGGACTGTCTATTAATAGTAAGATAAGGAATGAATACTTAACTTGACTAAAATTTACTTCTGATTCAACTACAAAACTAACTTATCAGTGTAAAAGTATGGGTGAAAAGTAGAAGAAAACAGCTGGGGAAAAAAACTCAAACAAAAGAAACATGTCTAATTGATACCAAAAAATATATACATGATTTTACTACTTACACACTGTGATTGAAATCTTCTAGACAAATGATGATCACCCATATAAATTTGTCTCTAGAAGTTTACTCAAATATTTTTTCTGTATAATAAATTTTTTCTGAATAAAAAATCATCAAGACCTATCAGATTGATGTAGATGAACACATATAATTTTGTAGTAAATCAATGTAGTGAAAAATTTACCTTCAAAATGTCTATTGGTTATTATTTTACAGTAATTAGTTTTCTAAAGTATAAATCAAGTTTATATTGACCAATCAAATTCTATGAGATCACTACAGTGATGGTGATGCTGGTGGCGATCATGTAACATGTACGTTATGTTCTGAGGATATGTTGATAACAGTAAAAAAACCCAAATGAATTCCTACTGACTTAAAGGCCTTACATGGTTTTGTGCTCTCTGTATTAAAAAGCATTATTTCCTCTCTAGAAAAAGGGAAGTAAACATTTAGAGATGCTATATACTAAAGTTGATTGTATTAAATACCAATACTTTCCTTTTTCTATACAAAACTGAAAATTATATATATATATATATATATGGGTTGGAATTCAGGAGTGAACATGAACTCTGAGATGTGGGTACATACAGCTGACGAGTCCTAAATAAGATGAAACGCACCTCATGGATTCCATTGTTAGCCACCATCCGTCTTTGCTAACATTGTTTGTACCTTGAGGTAATACGAGGCAATCCGCACAGAATGTACATATGCCAATAAGAGACTAGTCAATTACAGTCCTAAACATCAATGGGAAGATTCAAACAAGCACTACCAAATGAATTTAATTTCTAATATGATTACAAAATAATAAAGTTATCTATCACAAACCTTCATCATTGACTATATGTGGTAGATAATGGTGTTATAATGATATTTGTCGTCAATATTTTTTATGAGTAAATCTTGATTAGGTATGTATAACACAGTCGATTCGATTGTATATACTTTTTAAAAATAATAAACTAACAATGAAGTTTTCTATTCGATATTACAAAATCAACATTTTTGTATTCACAGTCTCAATGTCATTTTAATACCTGCTATTTGAATTTGAAGAGAGAGTATGTGAACGCATAAACAACCATGCATAAATACACTCGAATATACAATATGCTTAACAATACTTAAAGTGAACAAAGGAAAGATATAAAGTAGAATACACTGTAGATTATGTGTTCAATGGCTAGTGATGTAGAAAAATACAACTATTATGAAACTTATGATAAACAACATCATAAATATGCTGATTGAATAATTACGTTTATTACTATATTTAGAATCAACAAATGCTTAATAGACTTGTAGTCTATTTGACTTAAAAACTGTTGTTACTAATATTCTGTTGTTATTCACTGGGACTCAGAAATAATATTGAAAGTTAGGTGTATAAAATATATATCACAAACTGAAAAGTAAGAAGAAAATTACCGTTACATTGATCAAAAATGAAGTCCCCTGAATGGTTTGGAAATAATCAAACAAGTATTCATTCAGTTTTACTCGGTTCCAATCGATCTCTTTCGGTAAACTCTAGATTATCAATTGAATACCAAATTCGATAGTATTTTTTCAGGGATATACAAAATAATTCACTACAGTAAATAGACTGTCACCCATAATAGAATGTTATAAAAACCCAGTTAATCGATACTACTCAAATTTCTAAACTGTATTTAATGGGTTACATTTTGAATCTACAAATTACGAATTGTAACGAATGTGTAAATCATTAAGGTGCCTGTTCATGGCAGTTTATACTCAACCAAACGAAAAAGACGAGGTAGAAATCATCTGATAAACATCCGATATCATTGCAAAACCATTCAATCAGATCTTTATCAAACATTATTCTTTCCGTCAAGATTACACTCAATAACAAAATCTCATTGCTAATCGAAGGATCAAAAAAGTTTTCTAAATTTTTTTCATGATCAGTTGAGTATATATCGTAGTTACAAAATTAATAAATCAATGATTTTGTACAATGTCTTTCAATTTTTCACTCAAATTATAAGTGTTTGTTAATAAGCATGACCAGTATATATACGTGAATACGCCATTCAATTCAAGACAGTATGTATCAATCAAATTCACCAAATACTTTATATTAACAGGAAAAAATTACAAATGATTTATTGACATAAACAACGTAACATAGATCAGATCAAATAATTTAGGTTAATTCATTACACTGATTTGATAAATGTAATCTAAACAGCTAAACATTGACATTATTGAAATTCACCTAGATTTTGGACACTAAATGTCTTTTTTCTCGGACGTCTGATTTTATCTATATAGATATGTAAAAAGTCACGCATATCAATAATGACTAAACATTTGAGCATAGACACACAATCATTATGCTCACTTGAATATCAAGACATTTATATGAGGATCAAATCCCCTAGAAAATGGGACGTGAGGTAACAATAATTGAACTAAATTTACTTTGGATAAGTTGATCTCATGAAGATCCATCTTATTCCATGATAGCTATGACTCGAATAAAATGGATAGCTATTTCATTTTGATATAAGACAATATAATTGGTAGCATTCACTCCCTAGTTTTCAATAACTCTCCTCAACGGACATCAGTTTACTGGTGAAAAATAAGATCCATTCACAGTACATTTTTTGGCATCATATTACGTAATCACTTGTTAGAGTTATTTGATTAGAAAATCAATTAAGAAATAAGTTCTAACGCATAAACAATTCCCAACAGATAATGAATACTTATTGACAAAAATAGTATGGTGTAAGTAAATGACTCATGCTAATATTGTCAACTAGTGAACTCAAAAAGAGCTCCAAGGTTTAAAAAACACGTATTTCTTCAATTTTATTATAACTGAAGACATTTTCAAACTTTGATACGGATCAAACTAATCATCTACATGATTGCAGCCTAATTTTGGGAAAACATTTAGTAAAAAAACTTACATGTTGACAAATTTTACATTTGTAACCTTTAGCTGGAGGATGATATGGAGTATGACCATTTGGAACAGACAGTATGGATGATAAAGAACCTTCACCATTACATATACCATTAATTGATAGATTTTCCTCTTGATTTATCCCTAGAAATCTTGATTCTACTCGTACATTACCATTATTACTATTGTTATTACTACTTGTGACATTATTGTTAGTTGTATTATTATCTTCTCTTTGACTTGTTAATACATCATCCATGACCATATCTGATGAATGTCGATCTGGTGCTATCGTATTTGTGGATTCCGGTGAACATTCTGTAGCTCTTAAAGTAGAATTTCTAAAAATTAAATTATTAATCCGATCTTGTTGTGGTCCAGACAATAATCGACTATTGTTTTTATTCAATAAATTTGTATTACCACGACTTGATTTATGTGTTGTATGATCAATACCTGTATTTGATTCACTTTTATTTGGATTTTCCAATGAATCAGAAAGAGGACTTTTTGGTGAAAACATAAATTGTTGTTGTTGTCCATGAGAAATCGAATAACTATCATTATTTGAATTCGACCTTCTTGTGTTATTACTACTATTATTATTATTACTATTACTAGTTGAACTTTGTTCATCCAAATGCTTATTACTTGTAGGTGTTGAATTATCGCGAATTTCGTTGTTCAATGTTGTTTGAAATTGTGAATGATCAATTGTACCAACACAGCCGCCGACAACACCACCGCCACCACCACCACTTCCACCAACTACAGCGGCAGCGGCTAGAGCAACAGCTGCTGGATTACCTAAATTTTTCAAATGGTGACAGTGTAAATTATATGGAGTTATTGTATCCGTTTGTAATTTATTACAATTCACCGAGGTGATCGCTGATTGCTGCCTATTTAAAGCATTTGTTACACTTGATTGTAGTTGAGTTGAAAAATGACTAGGTTTTGCAAAACCATTGCATAAGTTATCTAAAACCATTTCATTTGTATTGGAATTTCGTAAACTAGACTGTACATGACGTGGTACTTGTATACCATGTGATAAAGATAAACCATTAGAATTGCCTAAAGTTGGATCATTTGCACCCATTATAGCAGAATTAGCTGCAGCCGATGCAAAAGCAGCGATCGCTGCAGCATGACTGTTCGAACCGGCTGTTGGATTACTATTAGTATTATTACTGGGATCGTTTAATTGGTCATTTAATCCATTTGTGGTGTTAGTGTCTTGATGTAAATGATTAATATTACCACGAGGTTGAACAGAAAGTAGACGATGTGAAGTAATATGTGCACGTGTATGATTTATAGATGGTGAATGATTTGGATGACGATTACCATCATTATTATCACTTGTTTCATGATCTTGTGATAAATGACGTGTTTCACTTAATCCAACATGTTGATGTGGAAGTATATGTGACATATGCGCTGCATGTGCACCAGTATAAGAGAATCGTTGACAAAAACTTTCAAATGGATCTTCAATCATTCCAGGTATAGTAGCAGATCCAGAACCTGTATATGATACATTCAACATATTAGAACCAGGCATAGCATTCATTGCTCCAGCATTTGCACCCATCATAATTGGTTGTGCATGTGCACCGACAGCAGCATTTGCTGCAACAGCAGGATAACTTGCCCATGGCCATAAAAATAATCCAGTTCTTGTTCGTGGATCAGTACCACTTACATCCATCATGAGTTTAGTTTCAATTTATCGATTTTTTTAAAGATTTTAATCTTTAAATTCTGCTTTCAGTATTAAAAATTGGTACAAGAAAAAAATCGTAACTCAACAGAAGCTAAAATACGTTAAAACATTTGGTCTGTGCTGAATATCATCATGAGAGTTTCAAATACAATTATACTGTTTGATACATTGGACACTGAAATGCTTCTGTTAGTGTTAAATATGGGTTGAACAAATAAAAAGAGTGATATTAATAGCAGCCGTAATAGTAGCAATAATAATTGTTGTATTGAAATGAATGTTTGTCAGTTTCATAAAATGATATGATGACATTCAAAATACACTTGTTACGATTTAAATTATGCACAGTGAATAAATTACTAATAATTATCAGACATGTAGAACGACAACGACAATAATAATAATTAAATAATTGTTTTTTAATCAAGCTTATTCCATACAAGATGTGCAGAGTTTCAATAGTTTGTCAATATTTGCTGTAGTTATGGTATCAAGAGTAGTATAACTAGTAAATAGCTACTGACACATAGTATTTTCAAAAATAAAATAGTTTTTATGATGTCTCAGTGTTTATTATAAAAATGATTTCATAAATAAATGTGGAAGTGGGGTGAACTAGATAGTTGTTTTAGGTATTTGCATAAAACACTAATATGAACATAAAAAGTAATGATAATGATAGTAATGATAGTAGTTATGATATCAGTACAGTGTTCGCCAGATGATGCACGCAGACAAAGCTGACAAATCAGAATAGGGATACTAACAAGTTATCTTTACGTAGGCGATTAGTTCCGGTAGCAATAGGTTATCATTAATAAATCCTGCGTTTGTCTACCATTAGTCTGATGGCCAATCAGAGAAGAGAAGAATACAACCTGTGCACACGAGATTTTTTCAATTGGCTGTCTAGAAATTGAGGCAATCTAAAAGCGTGTCCTATTAAAATATTTTCTATCTATCTCTCTCACTGAACTTACAATGAAAGTGGACGAATAAACTAGAAATAGGACACCGACAATTGTTTATACACTGATATCGTGATGTATCAAGGCCAATAAAAGCTTAATCCTAGACATGCCACACACAGCCTAAAAACTCAATTCTTCCACTCATTCACTCACTATTTGTTTGTTTCTGTCTGTTTATTTGTATAGTCACAACAATATTCCTTTCATTTAGCTTAATGCCAGTGTATACAATTCAGCTCCACGTTTTCATTTATGTAATGACAACCTAACCGTACTTAAGAAGTACAAATTGTGATGAGACTTTATAATGTAATCTTTAATCGATAAGAAATTAGTAAATTTATTGTTTACTGGCAAAAAGTGTGATATATTCTTCTCATTTAAGAAATTTCATTATCGTTTGCTATTATTCAATTTCTCAAAAGAATTACTTGTTGCAGGTATACAGACTTAGTTAGAACTCGTATTGCGTGTTGATAGTATATTAAAATCAGAAAGATATTTTATAATTCAAAGGCGTGAATGGTTGTTAGCGGGATATTTAACCTCTACTGATTCTATTACTAATTCTACTGTTCTGAGATTTGTCCTGATAATATAATCTTATCATGTTATTACAATGTGACGACTTGAATCAGTGCCGTGTCTTTTGTTGTATATAACTAAGTGACTGGTAGATAAGATTACGTTATAGCCCCTCCATTACATAATAACTTCATCGATGTATTCCGATTTAAACATAACTGTCAATATGAGTGGACGTTTTATGTTGTCTTATTCAGTAAATTTTATCCTTCATCTTTCCTAATGGTAAGAATCATTTCTACCGATGTGAAACGTAACGTCATATTCAATTCTGGATTATTTGTATTGCAAATTGATAGGTTATTATGATACATACGGTTCACTTTTAACATTTGACAAACATGGTATTTTTCAACGGTTGAGTCATTAAAGTAATCATTTTGAATTATATTTATAATTGTCGTAAATTACTACCAAAAATTAAATGTAACATTAATGGTATCCATTTGCTTAATATCATCAGTTCTTTAAAAAGTTAGTAGCAATAGTCCTTTTTAAATGCTAAATTTATAAAAATAGCTTTCATTTAAAACTGATATCAATCGAAGAATTATTGGAAATCAAGAGACATTGATCGTGAGAGATTTGAAGCTTATTTTGTGAATAAATAATAATAATAATAATAATAATAATAATAATGGCTTTATTTAATGTTCTATTGTTAAATACAGTATAAAATTCTCAGATTGCGATATTTCAACAAGTTTCTTTTACTCTTCTTATGAATTGCAAAAAGTAAATATGCATCATGTATACGTGAAATAGGTAAATAAAATTGTCTAGGATAATATAAAATATTTGTGAGAAGATAAAAATCTACACAATATTGAATTGGAAGCAGATTCAAGAGTATAAGTTTACGGTTTGATCAGCTCTTACAACATATTCATCGTATAACAAATGTGTTAGATACAATGTTACATGGGATTTATAGCTAGGATTACATATATGGTTTCTAGTGTGACTGCTTCTCGTTCTACAGGACAATATGTGATGGGAAAGATGTAAATGAAATAGATAGTTTGTATCCGACAAAGATCGGTTGTCATCTGTTTACAAAATTCCAAATGTAAGGCCGTTAAAAGTCGACCATCGTTCATTGGGTGTTAAGTACTCATTTATTTCAAGGAGTATGAGGAAAGTGAAAGTGATGTACATACAGTGAGATCATCTGAATATTTGAAAAAACTTTTAATAGACGACAATAGATTAGGAAGAAAGGAAAGACAAAAGAACACCTACTTGTGGTACAGCAGCATAAGTTAATAAATAAGTCGAATACTTTCTTTTGAGTATGGTAAAATATTCTCTTCCAAAGAATTGAAAACAGCCAATTGGTCATCCCTTTATTGGTATCAACACCAACCAACTTACATAATAATGGAGGTCAAGGAGATAAGTAAACGGCAGAGAATATATGACGCTTCAACAATTCAGTTCATCTACAACAGAGTTAATAGCTTCTGTTGTACAAAATAAAGTACTATACGGCAAAAATGGTTAATAAATACTATTTTTATTTACCTAAGAATCAGCAAAAATATTTCTAACAAAATAGGACCAAAGTTTCTATCTGCGAGATGCAAACTAATTAACGTTAGTCAAAGAGCGACGATAATCAACCATTCCACTATGAAACCTTGCGATCAGTCAAACTAGCACCCATCGTCAGTCGTCCATTCAAAGTACTGTTTTGCCATTCGCAAGGAAACTGAAATGAATCAACAATTTCTTTTACCTCGGTCTGAAGTAGGAGTAGTAGGAATTTCTTCGTCGTTTCGAGAAAATGCGAATTTATTGTAATGGATCAAAACGTTACATTCTTATCACTGGATTTGTTCTTTGACAAGCATATAATCCATATTGCTCTCCATATTTTCTTTGTAAAATTAGTTAAAAACGATTCGTTAAGAACGCTCTTAAATGAAAGAAGCACATTTCTTAAAAAGAAGGTTTGGCATGACGTCAGTTCCTAAACATTGTAAACAGTTAAGTCATTTGAGACATTTTAAAGCATCAGTTTCAGTAAAATTTGAGACACAGCTTCTCCTCAAACCTAAAGAACTCGGAAACATGAAATTAGATCATCAACGTGAAAAGTGTTATTTCAAGTTACAAACATTCAGCTGAGCATTATCACTATTTCCTTTCTTACTGTAAGCTCTTCAAATAGTTTCCATATATTTGAAGAGTTTTTATAAGATAAGAGTTCTTAAACATTGCAAAAATTATTAATTCAACAAATCTACATATATTATCACTTGGTGATCACACACTTGATTTATGTTCTTAACTTGTGCAAATAACTATCATACCATTTTTTTATTTTTCTCTTACAGTAAGTAAATCCAAAACGAGACCGGCTAGCAAAATGAATGTTGTTTCTTGAATTAAGTGAAACGAAGAAAAGTAATTTATTAACTTTTTAAATCAAATAATAGTCATATACAATTATATTTTAATAATAAACCAATAAATTAAACTAGGAATATAAGAAATTCGAATAGCTTTTTTCTGGTTAGCGTTTTTTGGCGAGTTAGTTTTCTACGGGATGGGGTTGCTAACCCCATACCCGACCCTCCTCCTTTATTTGGGCTTGGGACCAACAGTAGCCCCCAGAGGGACTCCAGGCGGAGTTGGACGATCTAGACTTCGCAGATGATCTGGCCCTTCTATCTCAAACGCAAAAACAAATGCAGGAGAGGACGACCAGTGTAGCAGCAGCCTCAGCAGCAGTAGGTCTCAATATACACAAAAGGAAAAGCAAGATTCTCCGATACAACACAGCATGCACCAATCCAGTCACAATTGACGGAGAAGATTTGGAAGATGTGAAAACCTTTACATATCTGGGCAGCATCATTGATGAACACGGTTGATCTGATGCAGATGTGAAGGCGCGGATCCGCAAAGCAAGAGCAACATATTTACAAGTGAGGAACATCTGGAACTCAAAACAACTTTCAACCAACACCAAGGTCAGGATTTTAAATACAAATGTCAAGACAGTTCTACTGTATGGGGCGGAAACCTGGAGAACTACGAAAGCCATAATCCAAAAAATACAGGTGTTTATTACCAGTTGTCTACGCAAAATACTTCAGATCCGTTGGCCGGAGACTATTAGCAACAACGTACTGTGGGAGAGAACAAACCAGATCCCAGCGGAGGAAGAAATCAGGAAGAAGCGCTGGAAGTGGATAGGACACACATTGAGGAAAGCACCCAACTGTGTCACAAGACAAGCCCCCACATAGAATCCTCAAGGCCAAAGGAAAAGAGGGAGACCAAAGAACATATTACGCCGAGAAATGGAGATAGACATGAAAAAAAGAACAGGAATTGGATGGAACTAGAAAAGAAGCCCCAAGACAGGGTGGGTTGGAGAATGCTGGTCTGCGGCCTATCCTCCATTAGGAGTAACAGGCGTAA